ACACATAGCAATACGTATATATATATATATATATACATATTTATATACATATATTGTAACACAAAAAATCGGAACTCAAGCGCGGGCGCAGGCGCTCCCAGGCACTCCCAGGCGCCTCCTGGCGTTCCCAGGCGTTTGTATGCGCTCCTGGGCGACCTCCCCCCAGCACTCGCAAGAACTCGCAAGCGCTCGCAAGAGCGCGCAGGCGCTCCCAAGTGCTCGCATGCGCTGTCAGGCGTCCGCCGGGGCACTCGCAAGCGCCCGCGAGCGCGCGCGGGCGCTCCCAATCGCCGGAGTTAGCAACCGCATATGACAAAACAAGCGCGGGGAAGAATCAACAAAATGGCGGCGGGCTCGCCGGCCAAAATCAGTTCAAAATGACGGCGGCGGCGGAGGGGGGCGCCCAGTCAGTACTGCAGTGAGCACCGAAGAAACCGTAGTGATAGGGAGCTCCACCGAAGGTCCCAATGGCGCAGTTCGCATGTGGGCGTCGCGCCCGTTTCGGCACACCTTTCACACGGTTCGTGGCTCCGTAGGGAGCTCCACAGAAGGTCGCAATGGCGCAGTTCGCTTGTGAACGTCACGCCCGTTTCGGCACACCCCACACACGTTTCGTGGCCTCATAAAGAGCTGCAACGAAAGTCCCAATTGCGCAGCTCGCATGTGAACGTCACGCCTGTTTCGGCACACCTTTCACACGGTTCGTGGCCCTGAAGGGAGCTCCACCAAAGCTCCCAATGGGAGGGTCCACATGCGCCTCCCCCTCGCCAAGTCGGTACGCCGATCACACGTTTTGTGGCCCCATAGGGAGTTCCACCGACGACGTCCTCACAACTGCGGCACTCACAACTGCATATGATTGGGTCCTTCGCCAAGCTGCTTGCCGAAAAAAACCCAAACGAAAACCACACTTTCGACTTTTCGGATTACCGCATACGATGCGAAACGGGTTGCCCGAATCAAAGCGACGATTCCGCATGGGAATGCCGGCCGAACTCGAACTCGAATTTTTCGGGTTCGAAATCGAAATGGCGATTACGCACATGATTTTCTCCGAAGCGCAGTTCGAACCTCTTCGGGATCGAAGTCGAACTGGGGGCGTTTCGATGCTCGCAAGCTCTAACCCTCAATGGCGTGATGGCCCCTGCCAACCACTGGAGCCTTTTTTCGGCATTGTTTTGGTAGAGCCACGGCGTGGGTCAAAACTCTCGTAGCGGCGATGCAAGACCCCTGTAGGACTCTCCTGCGCAAGCAAGATCCCTAAAGGGGGGCCTACGGAAGCCGGTGGGGTCCTTGAGGCAAGCCGTCTGAACCCTGCAAGATCCATGTTAAGGACCCGAACGAGCACTGCATGATCCCTCTAGGGGCCATTTAGGGGCCCCACGGAACCCAAGTAAGGAATCCTTCGTACAAAAGCCTCCCTAAACAAATCCTGAATCAGGAATCCTCAGTAAGGAATCATTAATGCATGGGGTCCTCAATAAACGCTCCTGGCTCAAGGGTCCATCTCAAAATGTCATAGTTAACCAAGGTTGTTAAATAAACAACCCTTACGATGTATTCCCAAAGGAACGTGAGCCAAGGTTCTTGAATAAAAACCCGTACACTCTGTATACCCTGAGGGACCCTTCCGACGGAATCCTGAATAAGGAGTCATTGGTAAGGTTCCATCCAGCACAATCCTTAGAAACGAACCTTCACTAAAGAACCCTGGGAACAAGGACATGACGCGAATCCTAACTTAGGAATCCACATCAAAATCCCGAACCATCCTAAGACTTCTAAGTGAGGACTCCTCACCAACAAATCCTCACGGGGGGAGTCCAAACTCGGGAATTCTGATTAATGGGTCCCCAAAGAAGAAACCCTACTGAATTAAGGGGGCCGTGATGAGACACCACTCTCCTTCCCGGCAAACCTGGGCCCTGAAACAGGGGTCGAATAATAAACTCACCCCCATTTGGAAACATGCTAGAACCCTTCCCCATCTCCGCTGCCCAGGAAGGGCGCTTTACACATATTACCCAAATTTGCCCTTCCCCGCGCCACGTTGGCTGGGGGTGGGCTCCACAAAAAAAACAGGTGGTTGAAACAGGAACGGGTTACCCGAAAGCCGACGGCGGCCGCCGAAGGGTGGGGTCAACAAATACCACGGGTGGGTTGAAGGCGAACGGCTTGCCCAGAGGCGGCGGCGGCCCCCAGAGCGGGCCCCGCGGCTGCCGCGTGGGGGGCGGGGCGGGGGGGCGGTGTTCGGGCGGGCGGGCGCGGAGATATGAGGCTCGACGCGAGTAGCACTCCGCAGTTCTGTTGGCCGCGGAGGGCGGGTGGGCGTCGAAGACAACGCCGCCGTCCAATGCCGAAACGCATTCCCCAATTGTCTGGCCCCGCGCAGGGGGGGTGGGTGGCGGGAAGACAAGAGCACGTTTCCCTGCGAGGCGCGCCGGCTGAAGGGCGGGTGGGCACCAAAAAATTAAACGCATTTTCCCCGAGACGCCGGGGGGGCGGGGTACGCAACGCCGCGCGGCCCCCTCCTCTACTAAGGAACTTGCACAAAAGCGCCCCCCCTCACTCCGAAAACCTGCTTCAGACTAGAAAACCGAGATGGGGAGCCCCCATTAATGAATGCTTTGGCAGGAACCCTTGGTAAGGAATCCTTACCCGAGACACCTTGCAACAAAATCCTCAACGGAGGCTCCTTGGGCCAGAACCGTTAGTCAAGAATCCGAAATGAGGAATCCTGATTTAGAGTCGGAAATCTCACGAGGGAATCTTATATCACAAATCCGCAGTATGGAATGCTCGATGAGACCAGCTGCATAAAGATACTGCATCACGGAATCCATACCACTGACTCCTCAGAAAGGGTACCTTGCTAAATGATAGCTTGTCAGGAAAACCCGAGGAGGGCACCGAGGGGCGGAAATCCTTGACATGGACCCCGTTGGTGTGATGCATTCCTGAAAACATCCGTATTTTCCTTGCGGAAATCCTTCGAATGGATCCCGTAGGTGTGATGAGGATCTGCGTAATCAGTCTTGAGTAACAAACCCTTAGTAGGGCATCGTTAGCAAGGAATGTTTAACGAACGGCCTTTCGTGATAACCACGTGGTAGCGAAGCCTGACACTTGATCGTAAACAACAATCCTTAGCAACGACTCCTTCGCGGGAAATACTCGACCGGGAATCCAATTTAGGGGGGACCAAAATCGCGAATCCTCGGTCAGGAATCCAAGCTTGAAGAAACGGTCGCGCACGACACTGACCCAAGAACCAGCAACGCATAAAATCCATCCAGGGTTCTCAGAAAACCGATGGAGAAGGAACCCTCCGTGCAGAGCGCGGCTTACACAATCATTAATGCGGCACGTCTGTTATAGCGGGCCCTTGTTAGAGAGGTCCTCTATGCTGGCTCCTTTCAGAAGGGTTCCTTAGTGTGGAGCCGTTGCTCGGGAATTCAAAGTGCGGGGACATTCGCGCGGACTCTGGCGCCAGGAATCTTCTCTTATGGGGACCACAATATAGAATCCTCGACTGGACCTCTCTATAAGGAGTCCAGAATAAGGAACCCTAGCTGCATGATCTTTCGCGCTAAATTCTCACGATGGAATCCTGGGCAAGGAATGAGAAGTGCTGAATAATTAATAGGACGCTTAATGATGAGCTCGCAGCGAGGAGCGCTTTGCAAGGAGTCCGTCCTCAGGTCTTTGTTTGCACGGGGTCCACGCGTTTCCTGATAGGGCGGTTGTTGCGCCCCCCGTAGGAAGACCATTCGGCACGAAAGAGCTCCTCTGTAAGGAATTCATGTATTTCTGGTAGGGTTTCTACTCCCACCAGCAGCTTCAGCACCAGCCTCAGCATCGGCGTCATCGTCGCCAACGCCATCATCATCCTCGCCATCGCTATCATCATCACCACCAGCATCATCGCCACTATCACCATCGCAATCATCATAACCTCCAGCACTCTCATAATCCTCATCGTCCCCGACCCGTCCTTCCCAGGCATGGAGATGCGAAAGGCCGCTGAATGATAATTTCATCGCCATGATCCAACGCCGCATCTCGGGCCAAAATGTCAACGGGGTAGCATATTCAATCGGCCCTCCTGCCTGAGACCTGCTTTCCTGGCCCCAGACAATGCGCGGCAGCCCTTTCGGCCACTGCGGCGCTTCCGCCGCCTCGAGAAAGCGCGCGCGACACTCCGCTGCGCGAAAGGAAGCAGCGCGAAAGCGCGGGCAACACTCAGCCTTTCAGATCACGGGGCATCGCCGCCACCAACCATCATCTTTCAATAGCGGAGCGAGGCGATCCACATCGCATCGCGCGTCGCCCCCCGACGCGGCTTGCAGCGCAAGACGGCTCCGACCCCCGCATGTCTCAAATCCTAGGGCCTGCAGGAACCGCGCGATCAACGTGGCCTCTCTATGCTTCGTTCCCGTGTCTGCCACGATTGTTTTGTCATCGACTCTGCAAACCTGCAACCGCCCTTCGCGGGCCGCCCTCAGGATCCACAGAGGGCGCATGTAAGTGCCAAGCTTGTCCGACTCATCGTCGGTCCGCAAAGGCGTCGCAAAGATGTGCCACCTGCGCGCCCTCGAAGCCGCAGTTCGCTTGGATCGTCTCGAACCCGGAGCCCGCCGAACCTCCTTGCGCGAGAGCGCGGAACTCGCGCGCGCCCGTGCTCAGAGCCTGAAACTGCCGCGTCGCGCTCGACGACCATATCCAACGACTCTCAAAGGTCACCGCGGCTTCTGATGTAGGCGCGCGCGTGGACGTGCATCCAGCGAAGTCGCTGCGCGTTCAGACCTTCAGCGCAGACTGCGGTAGCTGCTTCGCGAAAGTCGCCACCTGCCTGTGACGTCCTGCCAAATGGCGCCCCAATGTCTTGCGTGCCGCCCATCCTCTTGTTGTAGGTTTCTGCGTGGCACGGGCGGCCTCCTTGCTCGCGCGCTGGATGCCGGGTTGGTCCTGGCCAAGACAGGCTATCCCCATGCAGGCGCTTCAATGCACTGCCCTTTCTTCTCCGCCAACTTCTGGCCCTCCGCATTCAAGTCCCGCGACTCCCGGTGTCGACACTGGGCGAAATCCTTGAACTCCCTGTGGTCTCCCAGCACGACGACATCATCGCCGTGTCGCCATGACATCAGCGCGCACTTCCCGTAGACGCAAGGGCAGAACTCTCCCTGCATCGCTCCGCAGTCTTGCATGATCCGCTCCACCGTCACGTCGAAAACGGCGGCGGCATCCCTGGGCCCGTGCGTCGCCATCTTGAGTGACCAGCCCCGCCTGAGCTCGCACCTCGAATCCTCCTGCGGCGCATCCAAGAACACCTCTCGACTCAGCTCTGAATGTAGATGCACCAGGCTGCCTCCGCGGCCGACGTCACTGAACATCGGCGCCATGCTCGATCGACTGCTCAACAGCCAGAGACCCTCCAGCGGAAGGGTCGCCACGAACGCTGCAGCGGCGTCGTCCGGCCCCAGAGTGGATCGCCTCGTCTTCCTAGCGACCGACCTGCAGCTGATCTCTGGCCTGTCCGAGTCGCGTGTCCACCCAGCCGCTCGGCAGCGGCTTCTTCCCCATCACTTCGTAGCACTTCGATGCCGGGGCCCACTCGAAGACGCCCGGATTCTCCATGTAGTCCATCTCCTCTTGGCGCCCCTTCATCGCGGCCTCGGCGTCGAGCTTCGCGCCCGCGATGCCATGGTAGCACTCCGCGGCCTCGGCCTCCGCGACGCCCGCCGCGTCGATCGAGAACGCGGCGTTGAGGCCCTCGCCCGCGCGGAGCTAGTCCCGAATCCCCCTCAGAACCCCCTTCGCTAGCTTCGTCGGGTGCCTCTCGGCGGCCTTGGCTTTGCCGCCCAACGACGCAAGGTGCGCGCGCCCATTTGCAAATCGGACTCCAACTCTCCTGGCCGCGCTCCTGCTGTCCGTCATCCAGCCTGCAGGTCCCGTCGCCAGGCCAGTCAAGCCGTTCGCGCGCTTCGCCACCTGGCCGAATAAACGCCCGTGCTCCTTCACCGCGCCGACTCCATCGAGCGCTCGCACTCGCAGCGCTGACGCAGCGTTCCACGACGGGGCACCCCGCGGGCGCCCACGTAAGACGTAGCGCACCGCCTTGAGCCGCAGCGTGCGCAGCTCCATGTTGAAGTGTAGGAACCTCCTGGCCTCGGCCAGCGCGCCCTGGCACTGCTGGCCACCCCCTGCTTGTCTATCTTGACCAGCTGGCTGAACGGGCCACAGATCGTCGAGCGCGCCATGGACGCTGCCCGGTCGAAATCCACATCCTCGCGGGCCCTCCTCCGGCCCGCCACTTGCGCGAAGTCCCAGCCCGTCCTGAGATCCATCGCGACCCCCGGCATCATGCCGAAGACCAGCGCCAGCCTGCGTAGCTTCCCCGGGTTGAGCACGGCGGCGACGTCGCCCCTGGCGCCCTTCAGCTTGCCCTTGAAGCCCCCGAGCTGGTTCGACAACAGCCCGATTTCCTTGGCCGTCGCCGGGGGCAACTGCATTGGGTTGCCTCCTGGTTCACGTCCGCATCCTAATATCCTGGCACTGGGGCACTGGAGGCTGACCAAGAGCTTCCGCCGCCTGCGGCTTCTGCTGGGCAGACCTCCTCCACGCCCACGCCTCGCGAAGGTTCGCCCCGCCGAGCTTTCTTCTTCGGGCTCGCGTCCAAGATCTCCGTCCTCCAGCGCGAGCTCGGCGCCTCTCGGCCCCGCCCATCGGCGCGTCGCTCTTCATGGCCTCTTCGACCCTCGCCCTGCAGGCGCCCCAAAGCACCGTGGCCTCGACGCCCAGCGCCCCCCGCCCAAGCAGCACCGGCAGCCCTCGGCGAGGCCGCTCCGCTGCAGCTCGACCTCCCAGCGGAAGTAGAACCTTCTCGGCTGCGTCTCTTCCTTTCTCTGTCGCAGCGCGAATGGGCCCGCGTCTGGAACCGCCGCGCCCACCGCGATCCCCGCGCCAGCTGGAGGCGCCTGCCCATCGTCAGCGATCGCCTCCAGCACTGGGTCCCGTCGCGCACCCTCTAGCTGCCCGCGCAGGACCGTCCCCCTGCGATGTCGTCGACATCCTCTCTAACGGTCTCGCCCTCATAACTCTGGCGATCGCCCCCGCGTGGACCTCGTCGGACCTGTTCACCGAGCCCGAGAAGATGCCCCCCAGCCACCTGTCTGTCAGCTTCGACGCCGGTTTGCCGGGAGGCAGGGAGAACGCCCTCTGGAACGGTCGGCCCTTCACGAGCTCGCAGGGCGCCCCCCGTTGGCGTCGGCCCGGCCCCCGTCGCGCAGCGTGCCGGCATGTCTCGCCATCCACGGCAAGCTCGGGCGCGCCGGCCCGATCACAGCGCCGCGGAGCTCTTCCACGACGCGCCTGAGCGCCCTCTCCGCGCCCCGAACTGCTCATTCGGCCAGCCCGTTGGACTGACTTTCGCCCGCGGGGGGCTCCTCGCACCCCGCCGGGACTCCATGCTGTTCGAAGGACCTTGACAGCGCCCCTCTTCAGCCCGAGATGACCCCCTCCTGGTCCAGCATCAGCTCGCAGTGCGAGGGGCCCGTCGCTGGCCGCATCTCCACCAGCATCATCGCGTCGTATTCGCGCTGCGCCCCCTTGCTCCGCAGCGCCTCCGCGGCCGCCCACCGCGTCTCGCTATCCCTCGGCGCCAAGATGGGGGAGCTGCCCGGTCTGAGTTCGTGCCCCCCCCCGCCCCCCCCTCCTCCGTCGTCTGCAGGTAGCCGCGATCGACCGCCAGCATCGGGATCGAGTCGCCCTCGCGGGAGCGCACGTGGCGCGGCTCGCTGCGGTCGCGCATTGCCGCGCGGTGCCCGCGCCGAGCTCGGCGCGGCGCGTGGATCACCATGCGGTCGAGCCGCTCCTGCTCCGTCGGCCTCCTCGGCGCCCTCCTCGCCTTCGCCTTCTGCCCGGCCGCCTGGTCCTCCAGCGGCAGGGGCGGGGGCGGCGCCTCAGCTCCTCGGGCAACTTTGCCACCTGCCCCAGCAGCTCGTCCCTCGACGCCCCGCGCAGCGAACTCCGACTCCACCGCGTTGAACTCTCCACCGCCCAGGCGGGTCTGGCCCTCCTCGAACTCCGCACCCGCGTCGAAGTGGCGCAGCTCTGGGGGCACGTCGGCCCCGCGGCCTGCCAGCGAGAAGACGCCAGCGCACTTCCTAAAGCAAGTGTCACTTCTACCGCCAACTCGAAAACGCCGTTCTCCCTCGCGAACTCGCGCCGCTCGCCCGTGCTGATATCTTGGCAGTAGGGCCCCCTGGCCTCGACGCCTGCGCAACGTGGCAGCCCATGCCCTTCGGGTCCCGGGCCCCGCTCGCACTCGCAATCTCCCCCGCGATCACGCGCGCGCCTTGGTCGGGCACCTGGCCGCCGTCCGCCGACCTGTAGACTCGGCCCTTGCGGCTCATCTCGCTCTCCTCTACCTCGTAATCCTGGCGCTTGTCTGGCGGGATGACGCCCGAGCTGCTCCGCTGTCGACCCCGAACGCGACGCTGACGCATACCTCAGCAGAGACCAAGCCTCGAACTCGAGCCGCGGCCTCTAGATCGACGCCGTGCTCGGCGAGAAGCCCGACCACCTTCGTCACCACCTCGGACGCGCCCTCCTTCGAGAGCGCCGCCAGGAGCCGACCTCGCGGCAGCTTCCTGGACTCTGGCTCTCCAGCGGGTTCGCTTGCGAGGCTGTTCGCGTTCCTGCCCCCGGTCGTGGGGCAGCGCGCCCGCCCGTGACCTGGTTAGCTGAATTCCCGGCGCGCCAGGCCTTTGCTTGCGACCGCGCCACCATTGGAACCTCCTGCGCGGCCCTTGCCTTGAGCAGCCATGTCCTTGGGGCCCTTTGGGTTGTTGGGTAGCGCGCGCCGGCGCTCCTCGGCGGCGCGGCCCTTGCGGCGGCGGATCGCGCGCCCCATGTATTTGTTTTGTTTTTGCCCGTCGGCGCCGGGGCCCTTCCGGCGCCCGTTCTTGCCGAGCGATCCCAACTCCATAGGCGAGGGTCCTCCGGTCGCAGCCTGAGCCGCCAGCTGCGCCATTCGCGTGTTCAGAATTTCCTCGCGGAGCCCAGCCCAGGTCGGCGCTGCCAGAACGGGCAATCGGGCAACTGGCGCAGGACGACTCCGACCCTGATCGCGTCGCCCATGTTCTCCTTGAACCTGCCCTCGCACAGCGAAGCCTCTCTCTCGAATGCCCCAACGCGCGCGGGGATATCACCCCTGAGGTCCCAACTCAGTTGTTCCATGCGCTGGCCGCGAACCTCGCCCTAGCTTGCGGCTCGCACCTGGCGTTCAAGAGACGCCGGGCTTCCATGCCCTCGTTGATTCCAACATTCGCGACGACATCGAGTGCTTGCACGCGGCATGCTTGGACCAACGAGTAATGCAGCTGTCTGGATCTCGCAACTGCGTCGCTGCTCTCGAAGGCTGCGACCGTTGCTGCCGCGACCTGCGTCCCCCTTTGCCATCTGGCCCTGCACTGCTCCCGCATGCGCTCTGAACGCCAGCGGCCAATCTCCCCACACCTCTCTCCGTTGAATTGCTCGGACTTGCCTAGCACGCGGAGCTCCGCGCAACCGAAGCTCTGGCCAGGCTCTCCAACTCCCTCTCCGCTATTTTCTTCAGCTTGTAGCCGACGGCTGTAGCCCACGCCTCGTCCGCCTGGACCTTCGTGCGCTGGAGCTCTGCAACCACCTCAGCCATGTGCTTATGCATCTGCCGGAGCTCGGCATCCGTCGCCATCTTGGTCATCGAAACTGCTCGCGCCCACGCCCAGCCGGATCTGCTGGCACGTCCGCTCTCTGCTTGATCTCTCGTAGATGCTGTCCGTGGAATGTCCACTGTCTGAGTTTGAATCCCACGCGGAGGTACCAGCAGTATCATTCGCGCAACCAAGAGGCTAGCTTGTCACTATGATCGTCTTCGGGCTCGCTATCCACGATCAGTCACTCTCCCGCGTCCTTCGACCCTTTTCCCGAACATGTATTCTTCGAAGCAAGTCCCACGACGGAAGCCACAGCTCATCAAAACTTGACGCTACAATGGGCCAATGTTTTCTCTTCACGGCCCAACTCAGCAGCATGTTGAACCAACACGTCAGCGGGGCTGCATATTCAAGCAGCTACACGTGATGTATTGATATATTGATTTGCTTCCCTTTTGACCTCTGGACCTCTTAATGCATTGATCTCTTGAGGAAAGATGAAGATTATAAGGGAAGAGGATGAGAGAGGAAGGGAGGAGGAGTGAGCAGGAGCAGACAGGTGAGGAGGACGAGCAGCATGAGTGAGGATTGGGAAAACATGAAGGAGGCTGAGGCACATGGAAATCGAATGAAAATGAAGATGGAAGGAGATAAAAAGGTCCCCAGTGGGCCCGGAGCGATAACAACGCCCACAAGGGGATGTGCTGGGTTGCTGGTTGCTGGGGGGGGGAGGGGCGCGGCTCTCGGCTTTATCAACTCAACAATAATCTCACGGCCACTTGACCTAAGAGGCCGATTTGACTTTCATGCGTTTCTCCCTCTCACTCGCACCCGCCCTTTTTTCTATGAACGCATCCCCTTTGTGGAGGGGAGGGTCCATTCCAGCTTTGGGATGATGATGCCCGACGGGGACCAACAACGCAGTTTGGTCCTCAAGAGTATCCTTTATAACAACAAGGTGCGAGCCCCAAGGAGGGCACTTCAATTGAAAAATGGAAAATACAACGGCCAGCGGAGGGGGCGATCATCAATGAGTAATTCGTCAGAAATGGGCACTCAATCTCTCTGTATTGTGCGCCACACCGTCTCTGCCTGATTATCTCAGCAATGCACTCGACAGCATTCCGTCGCTAAAGGTTGCCGCAGCCCTGGAGAAGCACAACGGTTTCGCACTTCATGCGCTTAGATATTCTGACCTTCGGACTCGTCCTTTCTGGCTGATTTTCCACACGGTACTTCATTGATTTCGGCCTCGGCGTTTAGCGGCATACGCTGCACGGGGGGTACTTGCGCCAGTCGCATAGCCTCTGTGCCCCAAGAAAGCCCGAACAGCCCCAAGACGGCCCAAACAGGCCCCAAAGACAACCCAGAGATCCTCTTCAGGGCCCCGCGAGGGCCCCAAGGGGGCCTCAAGACGGTCCAAGAGGCCCCCGGGCCACGGCCCCTTAGAGACCCCTGGAACAGTACGACCCAGGAGTTTGTCTGGATTTGTCCCCGCGAAGCACTTCGTAGCTCATTGCTGGTGGGTACGATATTCCAGAACGCGCCTGTCGCACCAAGCGACGATAGCTATAATGCTCACGAGAGGCATGTGTAGAGCTCGCTGTAGAGTGCGCGCACGCGAGCGCCGTGAACGAGCACTGCACTCAGCGGGGAGGGGCAGGAGAGATGAGACCAGACTGATGATCGGAGGTGATGGGGGTGATGGGCAATGTACGCAGACCGACAGACAACCCAGGCGCGGGTGCCTTCGATGTGGGTCTCAGAGCACCCGCACCGAACGCCTC